TCAGCGCAGGGGGGTCGAGGGGCTGCCTGGACCTTCCCGCGGGGCTCGGAGCGTCGCCAGCGCGAGACGTTGTCGCGTCGGAGGTGGCGACGCGGTTTCCCCGCGCACGGCGCTCCGGCGGGTCCATCCAGCACCGTAGGAAGGGAAGCGGGGACGGAGCAGCAGCGGGAAGCCTGGCAGGAGACGGGGGGAAGGATGAGGAAACAGCGGCGCGGTGGGAGCAGAGCTGTCGGGGAAGGGGGCCGTGCAGCTACTGATCCAGGACTTTGGATCCACGTAGTGTTTTAACAAAATCAGCCATTTGTTGACTTCTGGGGTGCCGGTCCTGTTGCGGGGGGTGGGGGTTTCGTCTCGTGGGTTCTCTCATCAGATCCCTTGATGGCTTCATCGCCCCACAATTCACAGTTGCCTCCTCTACTTGTTCTGTGTGTAACTTCATCAAGTGGTTCTGGTGATAACTCAAACCTAGAAGCTGGAGATAGTGTTTTCCCACCAGCACCTAAACACAGAATTTCCTTCTGCGGCATTGTCGAAATAGTTAATTTTTTTATAAGGTTACAATGTTTCTATTTGAAACATCTGTTTACATTCCATATTCCAATAAAGTTCTATTGGCATCGATAGCAGGTCAATCCATTTGTATAATTCACTGAAACCAATAAATATCTATACGTCTGACCCGCTGTCGTCTCGAATCTGTGGGTCATCCCCCAAAAGCAGCTGAAGGACAGCGGGATCTCCTGCTCTCTGCTTGGCATTTGTTTCTGAGCCGGTCACTGGGGCACAGTGGCCTGCGGAGGAAGCGGGAGGTTTTTTGGGTGTCCTGGGCCTCGAGTCTCTCGAGGGGCTGGTGCTCGTGTTCCTGAACTTGGACTGTGTTACACGGCTGGTTGTCCAGCATTGGGAGTTTGGAAGGGGCTGGTTCGTGCCCAGAGTTGGGAATTCTCCATGCGTGCCCTTGCATGTGCATCACCTGCCCCTGCTGGCTGGATGCTCCGGGTGTCTCTGTGCTAACACGCGGTGTTCTTGGATACTTCTGCACGGGTGTTTGGGTTGTTCCCTCGAGGACGTCCCAAGCAGCCCTTCCTCGTGTGCTCCCGTGCTTATCTGGGTATGGCAGGGAGAGCCTGCGCCCTTTCCGACTCCGGGGTATTGGTGTTCCCAAGGGCTGCAGATCCGAGGCTGCTGGAGCCGCTTCCATGGTGCTCTTAGGGTGGGAAACACTCGTGTGGTTGGAAATGGACTCGCAGCGGCTGCAGGGGCAGGACCGAGCGGCCGGGCCCAGCGAGGGCTGGGGTTCCCGCTCCTCCCTGTGCCCCACGGTCGGGAGCGCATCCTTAGGAAGGAAGGAAGGGGCTGGGACGCGCTCCTGCCCGGCTTCCCTGCAGGCTCTGTCCTGCTGCTCCGGCCCCGCTGCACTGCTCTGCCTGGCGGATCTCTGCTCTCCCGCTGCCCCAGGAAACTTGGGAGCACGAAGTGGGGGCAAAACAGTTGCTGATTAATTGTCCCCTGCCTCTGTTTTGGTGCCAAACCCTGGTCCAGGTGCCCTTCTTTGAGCTGGGACGTGCAGCACTGAGCAGCTTCTCTGCTCTCCAAGGATGACTTAAGGTCGGGCTGCTTCCCGGTGCGTTAGGGCTTCCCGGTCCACGAACCTGGAGCGAGGGCCTCCCAGGCACAGGCTGGAGACACTGGCTCTGGCAAACGCATCCAGCAACGCGACGCTCGGAGCAGCGACATCGCGGAGCTTTCCGAAGCCTTCGTTGCGCCGAAGGCATCGGATTGCAGGGAATTCTGAAGGGCAGGAAACGCTGCAGCAGCCAGTTATTTTTGGAGCCAGGACCAGATTACTCTCTGCCCCAAATCCGCTTCCTCGGCACCTTGGTGGGGAGGAGGGAGGACAGCGCCGGGGGAGAGCACCGTTCTCCAGGGATTGACGGGACCGAGGCGACCTGACGAGGGCCAGTGCGGGGCCTGGCCCCG